ACCTATGAGGTCAGAGGAGAAACAACGAATGGTGACAGCGAGAGAAAGTTTGCTCACTTTGGGTTTTCCTTGCTATGGGCCGGCATGTGGCAAAGCAAAGGTGGTCAGGGCCTTGGTTTTGCCAAGTTGAAACTTCTTTCTTGTTTGTTGAGCTTCTGGTTTGATCTTGCCAAGGATGATGTTGACATCAGCCATGTGTCTGAGAAAAAAATGTTGGATTACGCAGGCAATGCCATGCATTTGCCATGTGTTGGATTTGCCTTGCTGTGTGCCATTGTAGCCTTGCGGCCTGTGTCCGGGTCGTGATGGCTGCTGTTTTGACGCTCTACCTACTTGAACTGTGCTGCAGCTGGAAGATGTTTGAAAAAATGTGTGAGCAGGCAGCCTCGCTTTGTCACAGTCATCCAGATTCAAGTCAATGAGCAAGCACATGAGACAGAGTATGACAAATTCATGTAACGTTTACATCATACCGAGCTGTTTTCCATGTCAAACTCATGGCTATCTCATGCCACCCTTCCAAAGCGAAGGGCCAGAAAAGAAAAGTGCACGGCCCTTCTCAAGTGGCCCTGTGGGACACGTCAGGCCTTTTGCAGATGAAGGTGATGAACGGGAACCGAAGCGAAAGAAGAGCCAGCCATTGCCATCTACTCAGCGAAAACCATTTGGCCCTGAGGGGTCTGAGGAAAGCGGAGATGAAGCGTCAGAGTCAGAGTCAGAGGTATGTGGCCCTGGCAGTGATGCTCACACTACGTTTGCCTTGGGTTGGGACACATTGACAAATTTCCAGAAGGCCACAGGGTGGTCCAAACATGAAAAAGAAGAACGCGAAAAGGCAAACGTGAAAAGAGCTCACGACAATTCAAACCGTCTAGCTGCCGCTGAAGCAAACCCAAACTCAAGAAAATCTGGAGTTTTTGCAAGCAGTGGCGCTGATCCTGGGCGTATTGAAGCATTGCTGCATCAAACATGTAAATGTGCCTTGATCAACAATGGTTGTGAGATTCAGATGATTCAGCGTCTGGTAATTTCAGTTTTGGATGTATCATTACTTGGCACTTTGTGTCCTGCAGGTGCCAACAAGAAGTGCTTTCGGCAACTTCAGCCGAAAGAAGTTGTCGCATTTCTGAAGAAATTTTGGGAATTAAAGAAAGCTGAACAAGACCACCTGGTGTGGAACCCAGCAACTGTATACACTCTTCAACACTTGTTTGTTGTCCAGTCTTTGTGTGTGTATGTTCTTGGCGTCATCTCAGTTGTGGACGGCCTTTGGTGAGCCTGGGCGTGGTAAAGTCCAAACCTGGAATCTGGCTGGTTTTGAAATCAAAAACCGCTTCGTGGCTGTAATCAGAGAGTGCCATCTTCACATATGTGTCAGATTCAGGATTCAGCATTTGTCTTGGTGGTTAAGGCGCATGTCTTGTGACCCTCCTTGGAATTGGAAAAGGCCGTCTTGCCCGAACAGAGTCAGGTGCCCCTGACATGCGGTGTGGCCCACAAGCACGTGGTAGCACTGTGCAATCTGATTCTGTCCGTGCATTCTTTCACAATGCCTATTCCAAGCTGGGGGAAAGTTTGCCTGACAAATTTGTTCGTCGAAGAAAGAAAAAGGGAAAGCGCGTTGCTGAAAGTGATAGTTCTGATCTGGAAGTGGCCTCGGGCGACGAAGATGGAGGAGATGAAGCGTTGCTGGAGTGGTTGGACCGTGGGTCAAACACTGCAGTACACAATGCTTGTGTCAATGCTGGCACATTGGTGAAGCGCTGGATGCCACCAGGGAATCTGGCTGAACTTTATGACCATTATCAGGTGGTCCAATCTCTCTTGGGTTGCCCTGCTGCATCGCTTCTGGGCATGATTTAAACAAGTGAACACACAACAAGATCAGAATCAACTTCAGAATCATTGTTTGAAATTCACTGTGACCATTTGATTTTGACCTGCAGGTTCAACACCTTTGTCCGTGTGTATGAAGCAGATTGGAAGGATGTCTTGGGGGTTCGGCACAAAACAGAGTTGCTTGCCTATAATTTTGTCGTATATTGGCATGTCAAGCAACAAGTGTCTGTGTGTGTATATGTGTAGTTATATTCAGCCATGATTTTGACTTGCTTGGCTTTTCGTTTTCTCAGGTTCACAATCTGTGATGTTTGTGAGCAGCTAAAGTCCCAGCTGCATGACAGACATGTGCCACTACCCATCAAGTTGGGAGCAGTCACCCAGTATCGCCAACACTTAAGAGATCAATACAGCGATCGGTCCATATCATGGCAATTATGTGATGTTGCCAACACCCGAGAGGGTGAGGTGCTTGTTCTTTGGCTGGATGGCATGGAGCAGGCCAAATTCAGCATACCTAGACACAGAGGACTCAAAACAGCCAGTGCCACGCACAGGCCTCAAAGTTTTGAGTGCGACTAAATGCTTGAATTTGATATTCACATTTGGAATTTGATAATTGCATTTGTTTTTTCTTAGTGATTGGTTGCAAGTGTTGTGGCCAAGGTCACGCTTGCAGAAACCTCGCATGAAACTCCATGGGTGCTGGGCATTCGGGTACACACTGCAGCTGTGGTGCTTGGATGAAACGTCCAAGCATGACAGCGCTTGCATAATAGAGATGTTGGCCAGGACCATCCAACGCGTTACTCATTGGCAAGCTGTTCTGAAAATTTAAGCTTTGAAGATTTTGGCTGACTTTGAGGCTTTTGACATCTGTGACCAAAATCATATTCAAAGACCAAGACACCTTTGTGTGGTTGTTGCTTGGCATCAGAGTCAATGTGTTTGCGTGTGTTGGTGGGAGCAAGCCATGTACAAAAATGTCTGGTTGAGGCCGATAACACGGTTCGTGAAGCAAAGAACAGGTTTACTTTGTCTTGGGTTCACCATCAGATCCAATGTGGCCGCTTTCGAAGCGGAACATTGATGATGCTCCGCAAATCACACACTCATGATCGAATAGGCAGGGCGTCTTTACTTGACTGACTGCCAGTGTCAGTGTTCCTCAATTTATGGAGCGTTGCCTCGTAACGCTGTTGCAGATCAGCTGTGGGGAATCCTCAGCAGAAGATTGGCCAACAGTGACAAGATGCTCACTGATGAGGCGCGTTGTTTTCTGGCACAACATGTGTCTTGTGACGAATGCTTGACTCAGGACATGGTAAGCATTCTGAAAGAGGAGTGCTGCAAACCTGGGCTCAGATCATGGGTTGGAATCAATACAGAGATACAAGTGAAGAAGGTAAATGTCCTTGGGCTAAATTCATGGTTGCTTCTTGGCGCTTTGCTTTTCTGATGTTGGGAGCCTGGACCAAAACATCTCCAAACTTTGGCTGGCCTTAGGTTTACCATGGTTGGAGAGCAGCTTATGACAAGATCGGCGTGGTCTTGGAGGGAGGGCTGCTTGAAGATTCAAAAGCAAACCATTTTTTCATGGCAGTCCAGCTGAATGGTGACTTGACTTGAATGCCGATTGTGACAGTGTGGTTCTTAAACAAACCTGCTGCTAGCTTTGTGCTGTGTGATGTTTGTTTCACTGAGACCTGCCGTCCCAGCTACAACAGCGAGTTGACAGGGGAAGTTGCAGGGAACCTGTGAGGTCCGATGACGTTGTTTGCATGATTAAAAAATACATCAGTGACCACGAGCTCTCTCAGAGACCCTTGCTGGTTTTCACGAAGAGTCAGGCAGAGAGAATTCCAAGTGTGCCGCCAGACAAACATCCCCCACGGGTAGTGAATGATTCGATGAAGACCACCTGGTTGAAGCTTGCAACTGCGGTGGAACAATACTACGGTGAGTCATACAGGCCTGCTGCTGAATACTTGAGACACCTGGTCAGCGGGGATTTCCACAACAGCACTGACCTGGAGGACATCCCATGGCTTCAGGTTGGTGGACAACGCTTCCAAGGTCAACCTGTGTTCAACTTGCACAAGTGTGTCTTGGACGCTTTGGCGCCAGCTTTGCCGTTGCGGGCAGTGTGGCAGCGTCGCGGTGGCTAAGCGCATCTTGAGAAAAGGACAAGTGGTGGCCCGTGCTGCTTCTGTTTTCTTTGCTAGGCTCAGGAATTTCAGAACACTTCAAAATCACAGTCAGTGTCATTGGATCAATGCTTCATGTCAGGAAGGGAGGCCACCATGTTATATCATATCCATCATCAATATTTATGTCAACCCTAAACCCTAAACCCTAAACTATAAGGCCTAACGCATCGGCAGTAAATTCCTATAGCGCTATAGGATCTGTATTGGGTAAACCATGGAATGCTGAAACCAAAAATCGATGCACGTGAGTCATTTTGTGGGACCAATGGCCCAAAATCGATGCACATCTCATTTGGCAAGGCACCAAAACAGGAAATCGATGCACATGCATGTTACGAGGAACCTCCAAAACAAAAATCGATGCACATAGACATGTTCAGCCTATGGATTTTGAGAAATCGATGTACGTATGTGTGTTATGGCTATGAATTTCAGAAAATCGATGCACATGTCTTGTTCCAGATGCTCAAAATCAAAAAATCGATCTACGAAACCTCGTCATGTACATTGACTTTGCTGCAGTTGTGGCTTTGGTTTGTCATTCACACAGTGCTGTACTGACTCCTAACAGGTTCTCCTTCGAATATGACTTGAGCCCTGTGGGGTACATTGATTTTGCTTAGGTGCACCAGCATAGGTATCAATGTAGCCGCCTAGGTTTGGTGCATTGAGATGTTCACAACGTACAGGTGCAACATTGATTGTTATGTTGACTCTGATTTTGGTTTCCAATGTCTGAGCCATGCGTCCTGAATAGATCAATGTATCCCACCTAGGTTTGTCCATTGACTTTAAAGTTGGCTCTTTGCAGCAAAGTCAATGCACCCGACCTGGGTTCGTACGCTTGTCAAAACCGTCAGAGTCAAAATCGCACTCAGCAGCAGATCTCAGAAGGTTTTGGCTTAGACTCCTGAGAAGTCAGAATCCATCCCTGTCTGGTGCAATGATATCATGGCAATCTCGCCGTGGGCTGCGAAGACAAAGAAGAGTGAGGTCAAGGATGATTCATCAGAGCCATCTGCAAAAGTTCCTTGCACGCAATATGAAAAGCAGCTGAAGAAGATGGAGGGAAACGTTGGTTTGGTGAAGGAGTGGGCATTGTGTAGGCTGCCTGTGTCAATCAGCATTTTCTGATTTGTCTTTGGTTTCTGACTCAGTTGGCAGGAGCTTCTTGGGCACATGGCCTGGATCCGGCAGCAGATTCAGGGCTCCAAGGGTGAAACCGTGGTCCATCCTGGGCAACTGATTCTGAACACCTTGGCATGTGAGAATGCGGAGCTCACAGCTCAATCGTTGGAAGCTTGGTTTCAGGAATACGCATCCAAAAGGGCAGCCATGGGCGTCAATGTGATCTTCAAGGAAGCCAGCAAGACTGCTCCTTGCTTAAACTATGGGCAATCTTATTCTTTGTTTATGGCCTTTGTTGTTTCTGGTGTGTTCCGCTTTTGGTTCGGCTGCTGATTCTTCAGGTGATCGAGAGCACCATGAACAATGATGTGATCAAGGTTCCCATCACGGTCCTGTCGATCCTTGCCAGCTAAGATATCTCCACTTACTGCCAGACTTATTCAGTGCTGTAAATCTTGTTGCTGTTGGTGCAACTTGCTTTTAGCTATTCATTCGTGATGGCTGAGGCAGCAGGTGCCTGACGATGGACTGCCCCTGATTGAAGACATGATCACATGCTGGGAAGGCATGATCTTTGGTGGCCTTGATATTGCCCGTGAACCCATTGATGTTGCAGTGTGGCCCTCAAAACAGTTGAACACGCATGTTGACTTTTCTGATTCTGACAGCTTTGATTTGAAAATGATTGAGGCGGATGTGGCTGCAGGCTGTGCCATTTTCACAAAACCATTTCCACAATCAAAGTCTGATGTTTGCAACTTATCTTGCTTTTGTACCAGAGTCATTGGCTTCAGGACAGGCCATCAAAGTGGCTCCGCTGTCCTTGAAAATCATCAAGGGCTACACAAAGACACAATGTGTGCTGTTCACACTGCTGGCTGCAGCAGATGTGGACCTCAGTGCCCCTGATGCGATGGAGCTATTGAAGCCTCTCTTCCCAGTCTTGGATTATGCGTGGTTGCTCCCGGCACATGTCCCTTAGTGTGAACCATCCATGATCCTTTCACACCCAAATCCATTTTACTTGCAATTTATGGAGTCAAAGTCACCACTTCAGAATCGTTTGGCTTGTGGCCTTGTAGGTGAGGATCAATGTGGATGCCGTCACTTGCAGCTACTTGAACATGGTGCTGAGCTTGCGAGGGGCGGAGCGCCCAAGCTCCAAACTTGCTTCAAATGGCTTTGAGGTTTAGTGCCATCATGCAGGTGCGGGCTGACCAGGGAGTCCACGCGAAGGAGCTCGCAACAGACCAGCGCTTGCGGAAGGTGATTCAAGAGTTCCAAGACACCCCAGGATTTCTGTCGAAATGGGCCCTCGACGAGGACAAAATCATTGGGATCCACAATATCATCACCGGAACTTGTGAAGAAGCTCGGGATTGCATCCGCCAGCATTTGAATGCTGCCAAGTGGGCACAGAGTGCTTTCAATGTTGAGCTCCTGAGGCGCCCTCGCTGGCTGTTGGGAGCTGGTTTGAAGGGTGTCCCTGATTGCTTCAAGAAGGTGCTCACAGTCAAGCCAGAGTCACAGAGGCTGTTTATGAAGCTTGTGGTGCAGAAGTTCACAGAACGCTCTCGAAAGGTCAGGCCAAATCAGCGGGCCAGAGTCCGTCTGTCATCTGCCGATTGGGACGCTTATGTGAACTATGCTTGTGTGCTTCACAGCGTCATGGAGGAGGCGAAATCCTTGAGCAATGCGCGAGAAGGTTGCCAGGAAGAGCTCATGAAGGCCTTCGAGGCTTTGTTCCTTGATTTGCGATTATGTTTTTGCTGACTTTGGTTCCAATGATCCATGTGACTCTGACTGAGTTCTTTTTCATGTTGGGAACATGCTGGTTGACTCTGAAATGAAATAGTATGTAGTGTGTCTTTGACTGACTGAATATTGCTGATGATTGTTGTCCTAGGGACTATTTCGACGAAATCCAAGCGAGCATCAACATCGGGGCCTCTGAGTGGAAGGTCCAAAACCTCTGTTTGTGGTCGGACCTTGTCCAGCCGAAAGAGGCTTTGGTTTCCCTAGCAGGGGCTGCTGTTCAATCAGTGGAAGACTTGGAAGCCGATGTGGATTCTGCTGAGTTTGCAGCGATCCGAACCAAGATTGCGATGCTTTGGCTTAACTTAAAAACATGTGACAACCAAACCAAATGCCAATGTAAACAGAACATTGCTGAATGTTTGGTTGATTTTGAGAGAATCTCAAAGACTCAGGAAGGATTCAACAGAGTGGTGCAAGTACCAAGCACAAAAGACAAAGAGAACTTCCATGCTCCACGTGCTTGAAGTTCAGCATCTCAAAGAGCAACATGCAAAGGGCTTGGAGTTCCTTGTTGACGCGTTATCCTGTATGTGTTTTGTTCGTAGAGTTCTTCCTTTGTGATCCGTTTCTGTTTTCCAGTATTGTTGGTTTATTTGAACTGTGGGTTCTTTTCTTAGTGCTCCTTGTTGATAGTGGTAAAGGTTGCTGTGGTTGTTGTTGCTTAATGTTAGTGTTTGTTGGTACTACTGTGGCAAGCCATGGTTGTGGTTGTGTATTTTCTTTCAGGCTGATTGAGAAGTTCCTGGAGCGCCAGTGCTTCATGGGTGTGGTGCCTGACGTGGGCAACATGCCCAGCTCTGACCAGTTTGTTCGCAAAGCGGTTTTGGAATCCCAGGTGTCTCGCTTGCGTGAGGCACTTGCCAGCTTCTGTTCTACTTCAGATTCACTAGGCTGGAATCCACTTCATATTCTTGGCTTCAGGCGCCTCCAGAGCACATGCACTACGTTGCCTATGTGGACTTCACCAAATTGGGCACTTTCAGCCAACAGAATGTCAACACCCATGCCCAGTGGCTGGCACATGTGCTCAGCAAAAATCCGCTGAGATGCTCGTCAATTGTTTTCTTCGCATTGGAAAAAGTCAGAGTCAAGTGTGCGCTGCGATTCTCAGGATCAATTGGTGTGGTGATCGCGCCTTTGCTGTCAAGTGCCCTGCCTGGCTCATCACTTCGGGGTGATTGCAGGACCAAATTATTTGAATAGCTTTCATCAGAGACAGTTAAACATTGACCAAGCTACTGTACTCCACTGCACTGACAGGAAGATCGAAGACAAACTGCTGCATCACCATTTGGAGCTCAGGCCCCTCCATCTGAACTTGTCCCTGGCTTCTTTGCATGGCAACGCTGAGCAACCAGCGTGTTACACTGCTTGGTTGGTGTGTGTGACCATGTGCTACCAACCAAAGGCGTGAACTACAGGTTGCCACGTTCGGGACACAAGGACACAGATTCTCCGAGCAAAGTCGCCAAGGATGACACAAATGTGTGCCTTGTCCCAATCTTAAATGCATGTCAATGATTCAGATTTGTTTGCTTTCTGTATCAAAGAGACAGACTGATCACATTCAGAAGGCGTTGCTTCAATACTCATCCTTCTCAAAGTCATAAGAAGGCGTTGTTTCAATACTCATCCTTCTCAAAGTCATAAGAAGGCGTTGCTTCAATACTCATCCTTCTCAAAGTCATAATCATACAAATTAAAATATGTTTTGTTTGGCATTTGACAGGTTTGTGCATTCCACAGCTTGGAAGACCCAGTCCTTCGTTGGCGATCTTCCAGTGGCAATTCCAGAGTCTGAGTACTTGACCCCGTCTGCTGGGTTGCTGTCAAATGATCAAAGCAAAAATTTCACTGACATGCAGGAAACTGCACAGTGGCTTGGGGGGGTCGATGTGGCACGCAAGATTCTGAGCGCCCTGGGCGTGCATGGAACCAGTGTCTTGGCTGCATTTGTCCGATGGAATCTTATTTGATTTCAACACTTGATTCTGATTTTAGGTGATTCTGACCCTGTGTGATTTTGATTATGTGTGATTCTATTCTGGATAGAGGTGGAAAGAAGAGCGTGATCTTTCACAGCACCATGTATGATGGAGCCCTGGAGCGTGCTGCAATTGAAGCCCAGACGCCAGTCTTCTCAGTGTCAGCTGATGCAGTCACACACAAGCTTTCTTGCAAGATAGTCCGCAACACCCTGCTTGAGGGTTGGAAGAAAGGTGAGGCGAAGGGACCAGAGTTCAGTGTGAAATTTGTGGCTGAACCACCAAGCCTTCCTGAGATTACCAAGTTGCCTGAGATGACATTGTGCAAGATCATGGACCACAACACTGTGGCCATTCCGTCGGACATTCGACAGAGGTTTTTGAGGGATCCTCTCAGATCCAAAGAGTGGAAGGAGATCTTGGCTGAATTTGACAAGAAGTTTGAGGCTACCTCACAAGGGCAACCCGCTCAGGCAACCCCAGCAGCTGAGACTGAATCTGGCGCCGGAAAGCCTGAAAGCTCATGGAAAGACATCTTTCCTGACAGCCCCGAAGAGCTCACTGTCTTGGATGCCATGGATGTGTCCTCCACTTTCCCTTTGGGCAGTGGCTCGCTTGTCTGCAAAGTCATTGAAGGGCCACAGTACTTCATCTGCGCGACGACTTCATCAGGAAGCTTTGACACTGCCGAAGCTGTTTTTTTTGCACAATGGTGGCACGTGGTTGCTGGACGGCAAGGCAGCAAAGGCCTTGCAGGACAAGTTTTTGGTTTGCGAAGTGTGGTTTTCTTTGTCAGGCGATATTGTGTGGAATTATGTGGTTGCAGGACATCCCTGCAAAAGTGCACCACTGTCAGTTCCACAATGATCTTGTGAAGTGTGTGTTGGAGGACTGCTTTTCCATTGCTGTGCCACTGTGTCATGTTTGGTTTTGTGGTTTCTTGATTGCAGCCACAGGATGAGCATGGGGCTGACAGTCAAGTTCAGAGTCTCAGGGCTTGCTTGCAGCAGATCGAGCGTGATGGTCTCGTGGATTTCAAATTGGGCGGTCATTCCGCAGATCGCCCTGGCCAAGTCTTCAATGGCCACAGTGAAGACATGTCACTGGCAGCAAATTCATGACTTTGATGGTTTGGTGTTTCATGTAGAATGTAGAAGTCATGGACTATATGTCATGGGATGGATTTTTAACATGTGGAAGTTTCAGGCAAAGCTGCAAAAACACAGTTCCTCCAATCAATGTTCATGTTCAACTCAAATTCGACTTGCAATTGCCTGTTACCGCTCCTGCTGTCAGGTTCAATGTCGTGCCCAAGGAGGACAATCCAATGGTTTGGAAACCCAATGCGGTGCAGCTGAGGCAGTTGAAGTACAGCAGCTGCGCAAGCTATGTGGATGCTGAGAAGCTGACAGCATCGCCTGCCTTGGAAGTTGCTGCTTGTTTCAACTGAATTTGAAATTCTGACTTTCAACTTCTGACTGTACTTCTGACTTTCAAGTTCTGACGTTGAAATTGACTATCAATTATGATTCTGAATTTCATATTCTGATTTGTTTCCTTGACTGCGACTTTCTTGGCTGTGTCCCAAACCCTGAATGTGGTTCTGGTTTGTCTGACTGTCAGGTTTGGCGCCTCAGGAAATATGCCAGTGAAGGAGTCATTGCCCCGGCAAAGCCACTTTGGTATCTGCGCCATCCTCTTTTCTTGGAAAAGGGCCAGTGCCAAAGAGTTGTGTAGAGTGGCCCACAAGGAAGTTTTGAATGAAATCCAACAAATGATGTTTGTCAACGCTGCACCTTTGAGCTGTTTGCTGCAGCAAGGATTCAGTGATGCCAGGGCCATTCCACATGTTCAAATCCACTTTTGATTTTGGTGGCCGACCCGCTTTTGCCTTAACCTGCAGTTGGCAACAAGGGTGACTGCTGGTGATTAGAGCTAGTCACATGTGCAGCTGCTGCGGGCCAAAGGAAAATCAAACTCACAGTCAACAAATTCAGTTACTCACAATCAACAAACAACTAACTTTCATTGACGTTACTTAAAGTCAGACCCAGAATCAGAACTTGTTAAATCCAACCTCAACATTCAGCAAATCAGTTTCGATTTCAGGGTTTCCTGTAGGTTTCCTTGTGTGGCTCAAACCTGAGATTTTGGCCGCCAAATGACACAAGTTATTGACTCCGATGACGAAGGAGCTGTTGTGTTTGATTCGGGCAGCCAGCACAGTGGCGGCTTATTCCAGACCATCTCCCACAAAGACAAGCCAAAGGGCGAGTTCATCCCTGATTGGGCGCTTGCAAGGCCAGTCCAGCCTCTAGGTGAGGAGTCCTGTGCCCCAGAGAGCCAGGAAGAAGTCCTAGCTGATGCTGCTTGGAACTGGAATCCTTCTCCAGTCCATGGGCAAAGGACTGAGTCCCAACAACAGGCTGAGGCTGAGTTTGATGCTTTTGGCAACAGCTCCAAACGCAAGTTGGACTTGGACAAGGCAGACGGTTACAATACCCCTTCGCCTCCTCGGAAAGCCCAAGTCATTGAGCTTGAGCGTGGGGACGATGCAATCAAAGACAGTGAGGCAAACAATGATGGCAAGATTGGCGGGCCGAGCAAAGCCGAGTCAGAGTCAGCAGAACTCTTGAAATCCAAGGCTCTCTCTCTGAAGGATGATCCAA